AGACATCTGCGGTTGTAGGATCAGTGAGCGCAAAAGTTACCGCTACATCTCACATAACTGTCGAAAATGTAACGCAGTGCGAACGGAATTCCTCCTAGGTCATTGCTTTGTCAAACTCATCAGTTGTTTGTGTGGAAAAAAGAATTATTACGAACTAGTCGGGAGGATGGCTTTCGCTACAGGGTACAGACTATGTACCTATGTATGTATGTATACCGCCATAGGGTTAGTGTAGTAGTGACGTTGACAATGACAGTGAAACAAACAAATCTGAAATACAAAAGATAATTGCTTCTAAAGCCACAAAACGTAGTTTAATAGCACCACGACTAAGCACATACCTACGTATTGATAATACCAAATACATACGCACATACATACATCATTCATCCATAGTACATACGTAGTCTACTACGAATAGGTCTGAAATGATTTACCCACTGCTGAATGGCTTAAATACATACAACTTTTCGGCTGCTGTTTGTGGGCGCTTCATCGCCGGCCCTTGCGTCCCATCATGGCCGGGACGCAGGTCACAATTGCAATTATGATTCACAGACGCATGGCGTGCAGCAGACATATTGAAGCATAAAATAGAGGCTTACATACATAAGTGCGCACAAATACATACACATGTACATAGTATTTGCTGGATTGCATCCAAACACACATTCAATTTCGCTCTGTTGAGGTGCATGCCACTCGCATTTAATTTCGTAAATGAAACAGATGGAGACGACGGCAATGAAAACGGCGAAAGCAACAACAGGCACCATGTGTTTAAATAAATTGGCAAATAGGTGAAAACCAGCCATTGGTATGGCGACCAGACACAGTCAAGAGGACTCACCCTTACCATTGGAATTGGTTGGAAAAAATAACTGTTTCGCAATGGATTTTGTGCTACTTTTTCACCTTCGGGCAGTGACGAGCAACATGGATACAGAACAGAGCGTCTGTAGCTGGTAGCAACAATGACGGAACAATCGACCGAGCGACCGACAGTGCAACCGTTTTAGTCCTCCACAACTTCTGTACTCCCACTGGTAGTAGTAGCAGCAACGGCAGATGTAGCCAGCATCGCACACAAGTGGCAGCTTATGTATGCACGTGCAACATTCTGGCGATAATGAAGTTACATACTTGCTGTTATATACATACGTTTGTATGGTACTGACACAAGCATCGACCAGCCGGCTGTCACCCACAACCTACAACCCCCAACCACCAGCATTGCGCTCCTGTTACCAGTGATGATTATGAAATTGATTGCTGGCGGATAGTTGCCTGGCTGGTTGTCTGACTGGAGTTATGTATGTATGTATGTATGTAGCAATCAGGAGTGGGCCAGGTAACAACACCCATTTTAATTGCACGATTATGGTAAAGCGTATTAAGACAAATGCTGAAAACATCTTTCGAATGTATGTAGCATGCAAGTAGTGCGAGAAGAGGCAGAATATTGATATATTGTATGTGTGTATATTAGGGTGGTCCAAAAATGTATATAGAAAAATTGAATTAATGCTCTAACCCCCTAGGTCTGTTCTAAATCGATAAATATATAGCCCCTAAACCTCCTGAGTAAGGTCCAAAGAACAGCGTTTTTATGCATCTCGGGTGATTTAAGGACCACCCCAAACAAAGCGCTAGAAGTGCTAACCAATTTATCTGCAATAAATCTGGTAGGCAAACACGTGTCCGCCGCTTCGGCGCTCAAGACTAAAAAGTATGGCGCTATTGAAAGATCGGCGGTTCGGTTTACGCTTTTATACTTCACACAATGGGTAGATATAACCAAGAAATCGACTTATCCGGCTCTAAACCCACCTTCGATAGACTATTTAAGACGAACATCCCATAAAGAAGAGAGTACCAGTACGCTGGAACTGAGGAGGGGGGGGGGGGGGAGGCCTGAATTCTACCTATAAAAGAAGTGGCTGTACACCTAAATACACATGCCGCAATGAAGACTACGATTAATATCTTCTTTTGGGGTACAATTCCACGGTCATGGCTGGTTTAAACGGTCATTAGCTATTTGGTAGGCACACTTCGTGATTACGAATATTCTCCCATGAATATTGCAGATGTTGCAGAGATGAGGAAGAAGAATAAATAGTTGAGCCTTAGCTAAGAGCAGAGCGGGTTTTCTAGGTCGGCACTTTGTCGTCTCTCTCACGGACCCATCCGGCTTTATAAGAGCTGCAAAATGGTTCTTTGTAGAATAGTCACTGAGGTTCCATTGTTTCACAGTGGTAACATCACAATGGATCTGTAAGGTCTAGGTGAGTTGGTCATTGGACCGACTTCCACATCAACCTAACCTAACCTACCAGCTATTGATAGATAGCTATATATGAATAAAGTAAGCAATGCGACAATAAGGGCTATTGCACCCCCTAATAAACTCTTGACTTGGCGAAGTCCCGCGATGTTACGCCAATGCAGTACCCGAGTTTACCATTTTCCTTTATGAGCGCCTCCTTTATCGTACTGGGACCCACTGTAAGGAAGGGCTCCAGTCCTATCGGGGTCGAGGCAGCAGCCAGTCTGGCTAGCTGATCGGCTTCTTCAGTTTCTTCGAATCCCATATGTCTCGGCACCCATATAAGATGGATGGTATTGTTCATAGCAAGGTCATTAAGCTTTTCGATACATTCTCGGACCAAAGATTTGACATCGAAGGATGAGAAAGCCATAAGTGGCGCCTGACTATCATTTAGTATGAAGGTTGATCGCTGCGCATCGACTGATGGCATAAAATTCTGCTTGAAAGCACGTCTTCAGGCCTGGAAAATCAACCATCGGCCCAATTAAAAGTGCAAATTTCTTTTATTTTATTTTGTTCTGTATTCGTATACCTAACTGATTTAATTTTATTTTCTCATTTTCATTTGCCTTATTTAATATGTATTTACATGTGATGTCAAATACTTTTTCTCTCAAATAATACCTTAACCATTCGTGTAAAAGAGGTCCTGGATGTACATATGTATATGTAGGAGTGTACTTACATATATACCCACCTTCATTCCCTTACAGATACCTGATTGCCAGATTGTATAACAGGTAATTCTGCGCACGTACACAACTCCTCGTATCTGTGAATTTTTTAAAGTTTAGCTAGCGCACTAGCTAAGTTACGTCGAACTTCCTGTTAGCATTACGGCGGGAGAGAGTGGATGGCGCTAACTTTGATGGTCGGCAGCGCAAGTGAAAGGAATTCCTTCGAGATGGTGTTGCAAGCGATTTATAAATTGCATCCGTTCGCTCAGGTGCTCCATACTTAATTTCCGAAGTTTAGTGAACGCGATAAAAAAAATCGTTAAGTGCTTTATTGCTAGTACCCTTGGAATCGTAACGGTTATTTGAGTAATTAAAAATTGTATGGGGACTTTTAAGTTCGAAATACCATCGAATTAGGAAATAAAACTCGAAAAAGTGAAATAATTTCGGAAATAGCAAAGAAAGTATTACGAAAAATTCGTCAGGCCTAATCACGCGATTGGGTATTTGGGATGAATATGAATAACATGAAGATGAAGATGAAAATAAGAGATGGAGATTAAGGTAAAGATGAAGGTGAAGGTAAAAGCTGAAGATGGAGGTATAGATGATGAACGTGCTGCTAAAGGTAAAAAGGCTATTGGGATTTTACCACTATAGGCCAGTGTTGCCAACTCCAAAGGCCCTAAACTCCCATTCTCCCCTGAAGAACGCCCTGTTTATCCCTTTTAAAATTCGAAAATCCCAGCAGTGCTTAATTAAGAATCCAGAAAAGAAAGACGAGGAGGTGAAAATTTAGAATTTTATTTCCAAACAAATATGTCTGGCATCCCTACTAATGCTGCTTTGCCTAGGGTATCCATTTGAAACTTCAGGGCCGAGAAGCTATTCACTCTCTGTGCTACTTTTATGAGTAGATTATTATAAATAAATCGTGTCACTTTCTTGCTTTCCTTCCGATTCCCAGCTGCGAAGCGAAGACTGTAAGTATTATCCACTATAGCTGGATAAATTGTTTGACCTCGTTATAAGATGTTGAATTTTACGAGCCTTATGGCATAAACCCAGTCGAACCTAAAACAATACTATAGCGATTGCGTTGGCTTATAGTTGATTTCCACCAATCCTTAACCACAGTGGGTAGTAATTCTATCCTTTTTAAGTAGAAGCAAACGAAAGGAAAAAGCATAAATTAAGAAGTATACCTTGGCAATCACCCCACGTAAAAGTCTTTGTACTTATCTAAGCTCTTAACTGCAGTTAAGCCTTTGGTGGAAATAGGCTATAAGACATGTCGTAGTATGTGCGAAACCCAGCTAATACACATTAGAATATACATATGTACATATATCTATGATTTTTCTGCAAGAAGAAAGTCTTCTTAGTTTTAGTGGGACTGTCTTTTCAATGAAATCAAGGAAGAATTTTACAATTTTATTAGGTTACCTAATTAAAGAAAATATATAAAATGAAGCGAAAACAAGTCTGCGCTGACTTGTCCTCGAACGGAGGACCTACTGAATGGCAGTTTACAGGTCTAACTATTCGACTACCATCATAACCAACACTATTATGTTTAATGAAATATATGCATATGTACATCTCATCTGTATTTCAAATTAATTCAAGAAGACATTTCACAAAATTTAGAAGTGTTTACTTTGAAATGATCATGCAGAATTTTATGATGATTTAAATATTTTCTTATAAATAAAATCAATAATGAGGCGTATTCTTGTTTTGCTACGAATTGGAAATTTGAAATTTTTGAATAGAAAATTATAAGCCAATTTCATGATTTTCGATTCTTACGAAAACAAGAATTTGCCCAAATGAATTTTCCATAAAATCAATTACGAAATCTCTATGAAATTTACATAGATTTTTTGTCTGTTTTACTCCTTACTGTAGATACTTTTCTTAGAGACAATCTTCTTCTTTCTATAGGCCATATTTTTCTGTGTATGTTTGGCTACAATAGAGATACCTCTCTATTCGGCGCTCAGTTGTAGGGATGTGGTACACACGGCTTAGTGCAAAATAAGCTGCAAGCACAACTGTCATTACTTTGCAAAGATGAAGGGAAATTGGTGTAGTTTTTAACTCTCGGACCAAACTAACCACCTAAGAAGATATGAACTGGCGAACTCAGCGATTGATTGCATACACCGCTTTACATTCGACCGCGACCACCACGCGCTATTAATTTTGTTAATTTAATTAGTCTGACGAATAATTTAGCTAACTAATCGACAAGCTAAAAATAAAGATTAGCAATAAAACTCATCGTTCCGCAAAATTAGTTTAATTTCCAAGCCTCATTATAGCGCTTAAACGATTTGGTTGAACAAAAAAAAAAAAAATACGTATCACTGCAAAAATGTTAAACTACATATTCACAACATCAATTCAGTATGTTTTTGGCTGCCCAAATAATGACACTACCGACGCTTTTACTTCTAACTGTAACCATGCTTTTCGCCGCATTTGGATGTCAGCAAGCCGAAGCGGTATGAATTAAAAATGATAAATATGTGTAAAAGAAATGTGGTCTTAATTAGAAAAAAACAACTCCTCCTTAATAATTTTCCAGAAACGCTTCCAAATCTTGGACATAAAAAATCGCGTAAGTGGCGAAAATGTCTTCTTTCAGACGTACATTCACGATAATGGCACCAAATTTGATATATACCTGACGCTCAATAAACCATGGAAAGCGCATGATCTGCTTATGAGCTTAAAGCTGAAACGTAAAGCCAACAACGATACATCATACTATAGTAATATAGCGCAACTCCGACGCATCGAGGTGTGTAAATTTCTTGCCAATAACCAGCAGAAGTATCTCATGCAGGCATTTTTTAAAATTCCACCGCCTGTCATATCCCTAATTCAATGTCCTTTGAAGCCGCGCAACTACAAGCTCACCAATATTTCGGTGGAACCAAATTTGTTTGTAAATTCCCTGCATCCTGGCAAATATCGTTTCTTTGTTGAAGTGATCCAGTTAAGTTCGGGTGTCAAATTGCTCGATATGCAAATAACAGTGATGTGAAAAAACTGAATTTAATTTTGAATCTCATCGTAAAATGTTTGAGGAATAATAAAAAAGGATCTTCACAATTTTACAAGCTTTTATTAAGTTTCACCTGTGTGCAATCAATTTTTAACGAACTTCCCATTGAGCTAGCAACTTGAAACTTCAAACTGAGCTCAGAACCCGATGGCAATACTTCCTCTAGGTGGCGTAGGTGTCGAAATATTTGAAAAATTTATATACATATATAGTTGATTATAGTTCATATTGAGGACGTGTATTACTTAAATGAAAAGGAATGACTCCACAAAAAATTTGCTCGATAGGTGTCGCCGGAGTCGAGATACATAGTTGGGAAACCCGTATTTAAATATGATCTAATATGGTTCATATTGAGGACGTAATAACTTAAATGCAAAGAAATAAATCCACAAAAAATGTTGCCGTTGTTTTAAATATTTAGCTCTTTATTTTATCTGCTGGTCTTTAAAAATATTTATTTAAATTACTTGTTTCTTAATATTTTGCATTATTATGTTCTTCTTAAACTTGCGTGCCCTGAAATAAAATTTAAAAAACAACTCCTATTTTTTATCGCTTTTTCGAACAAGAATAGATGTGTACATATTTACTTATGTTTAAACTAGGGCTGATGATTTCACCCAGGTAATGAGCTACCCGGGTCCATAGGGACTATTTAGGAGGTTCGCGAGATTTTTCGGGCTTTTCGGAACTATTTCGGAACTGATGTGAGCTTTTCCAAACTTCTATTGAATAATTTTTGTATAAAGAATTTAGTGAAGGCATTGGTATTTATTGCATTTAACGAAGGCACAGTTGAGCAACCCTCCATATCTTTTTTTTTTAAGAAGCAATCCTCAACAAGTATCAATCCTAGGTAATCTCACCCTAATCCGCAGTAATGAAATTCCCTGCTGCTGTAGATTGGATGAATGAATTACAAAAACATGTGAATCGATCAAAAGGAGTAATAAAATTGCGAGACCTCCCTACGACATATTTTTTTACATTTAATATACAAATTAAAATACTATATTTTCCTTCCGGCGTAATGATTGTCATTGTTACCACAAATATAATTAAAATGCTCTAATTTATAAAGTAAACACAATGACTGCATGCAAACATGTACATATGTACATGCGTTTGGACAAGCAATCAAATTGATTACTCTTCAACAATTGCTTTAGAAAGCATAAGCTAGCCTAACAAGTGATATAAGAACCAATAAATATTTACAGTTCATTTTCGGTTGAAAAACAAACATAAAAGTTAATCGTGTATTCCCAAAACTCTTGCGCCTTTCAAATTTAGCTACATATTTACGTAGGTGTAGACACATATATGGGTACTAATGTCTCAAATCGTAATTAATACTGCCTAATCGAAAAATAGTCCTTTAATACAATAAATGTTAAACTAAATATACAAGTACATACATACATACTTACATACACACACAAATTGCGGCCGCTGTGATGTTGTGGCTAGATTTGCGCCCTACCATCCGGCAGGGCTTGCGTTCGGGCCCAGCTTCTGACTAACATAAAAAAACGAAAAGAAAAGAACAAAACCTTTCTAGTAGCGGTCGCCTCTCGCCAGGGAATGACAAACCTGCGAGTATATTTCTGCTATGAAAAATAGCTTCTCATAAAAATACAATCGCCGTTCGGAGAGTCGGAGCGAAACTGTAGGTTCCTCCACTTGGTGTGACAACATTAAGGCGCACACCACAAATCGGAGGAGAAACTCGGCCAAACATTAGCAAATTGTGTAAGCGCCAATATGTTTTTATTATTACAAACAAACACATATTTTTATGTATCTATTGTAGATAAAATAAACTTCATAAATCACATTTAAGTGGACAATAATTTCACTGACAGTAGCAAACAAAACTCTAAGGGCAATTCGAAACAATTACCAAATTGACCGGGGTCAAAGCCAAACGAGAATGTTGTTTGTAGAAATTGGAAAATGAAATTCGTTCTCTGCATGCTTGTGACTCAGTACGAGTATTAATCGATAAATGACAGTTATGTATCTAAGTAGTTTCAAGTTGACAAACAAGAATTGCAGCAACAAATATATACATATATGTATGCATGTACATAAGTATCTTGTACAGTGGAATGGTAAAATATAGCCAGTTAGGCGGCATGCCCTTGTTAGGTGGATTTATCTTGTAGCAAGTTATATGTTCTTTATGAGACTTTATTGGCTATGCGAGTACTTTAAATGTTGTACTTCAAATTTAGTTTCGATTTCGGTTTTGAAATTAAAATGTGAAAACAAATTTGACAAAAACGATTATTTATTAGTATAAGATCCGAATAGGGCACAACCTTCACCCCTTTTATGAGGTTAGCGAATATCTCGGATACCAGTAAATTTTTGAAAGGGATCTACGAAAAAAAGTTAGGGAACATCTGATATAATGGGTGAAATTTAACGGGGGTAGTGGGTTGGCTGAAAAAATCCCGACCAGGATATTTATAATTAAATATTCAAAAAATATTATTATTTTTTTTGCATTCATTTCCTCAATAAACAAATTGTATACCAATCGAAAATATCAAGCATACAGCATGTGAAAACGTTGGGTTATCTATTTTTTCCTGGCCTATCTATCGAGTTGGCAGCTATGCACAGGTAAGTAATACTTACTAGTAATTTTTACTCATCTGTTTTACACATTCTTAATGCTTAGAGCACTAAGTACGTATCTAAGTACGGTGACCAGATTTCTGTGGCCTAAAAGCAACGAATCCGATTATAGAATTTTGTTTTTAGAATAAAATGAGAAAAGAGACAAAAACAATTTTCTCAAAATCTGCACTGTCCCGCCAAAATCGGTACGAATGGTTACCGTATATCGATGGCTGAGTGGAAGATCGACCTATCTCGGCAGCCAGTTCGAAAACGCTCTATCTCAAAAAACTTTTCAAGAACGCTCTATTTCAGAATTTTATTGAAAAACACTCTATCTCAAAATTCGGTTCAAAAACGCCCTATCTCACTGCAAAATGTATTGAAAATATGCTGATATAGGGCGTTTTTGAATCGGCAGCTAAGATAGGGCGTTTTTGAAACGAATTCTGAAATAGGGCGTTCTTGAAAAGTTTTTTGAGATAGAGCGTTTTCGAACTGGCTGCCGAGATAGGTCGATCTTCCACTCAGCCATCGATATATAAGTTATTTGTTTATTACACAAATGAGTGCAAAATTAAAAAAAAAAAATCTTTTGAGTATGTATGTATGTACATATGTTCAAAATAACCTGGTCAGGATTTTTCAGCCGACTAAGAAAAAAATGATCTTAATCGTGTAACAGCACAATTATGAAGAAAAATAAGTTTGTGGTTGCCAGATTCTGCAGCTGATTTTTTTGTTTTATCGAAACCGATTGGAATCGGTTCCGGTGCTTGAAACGGT